ACATGAAAGGGAAGAACTGTAAGAACAACCACCTCACTTAATATCTGTAAATAATTATCACCTTATTAATTACATGCTTTCAGATAGATATCACGAAGTTCTAATGAGAAGGTGCGACCTGTGGGGTCAACTAGTCGGAGGGGAAACGGATGCCTACTGAAGACCTTGGGGGATAGTCGCGCTATATCGTGCGTGAATTAACAGAATTTGGAAAGTAAGAACCACTGAAAACCAATCCAGTGACTGAATGGTTAACACGTTCGCTGTGAAAACGGAAGGTCCTGAGTCCCATAACTAGCCGGGTTGTGGGTACGTACTGCCGAGGAGTCCCATACTAGGACGCAACGACTATCGAGTGCTCCCAGATTTTCAATGGTTTCCCAACTGATGTCAGTCCGTGATGAATACTACCTCTAAATTACCAATTTGTCAAACTCATTACGTTGCTGATTACTTTCATTACATGTATATGTAGACCAACATACAAAGGGAGGAACAATTAAGAGACGCGGTTGAGAACGAATGGTTCATCATGTGCGTAAGCGGCTCCAGAAACATATAACTTCAAATAATTTGATAAATTGAGGTGACAAGCGTTGTTCCTCATCGTCAACAAAGCACATACCAGAAAGTGATCATAAAATTGATATGGAGACAGCTTATAATACATTACATTGAAATGATCAAGGACGAATGCTTGGATTTATAGAAGCTTTTGAACTGACTGTAAAGGCCACACTAAAAGTAACTGAGAAATAGTCAATCAAACTATTTGTCTTCGTGAAAATCTGCGTTTGCAGACGAACTAAAAAACCTAACTGGTTATTGTAGACGTTGCTAGGGTGATCTTTATAGTCAAGCAGCCATTGCTATCCATGGATTCAAAGTTCTTTTATTTATTCCAGATCAATCTGTATTTACACTAAGCCTACCTCGATAGCATTGATTTCAATGTTTCTTAATCATAATGCTATTGGCTTAATTAACGCCTTTCAGTTTTTATATCAATGATTCAAAAAGTTCATATAGGGTGACTCTAAATGTCACTCTAGCAACTACTGAAATACCCAAATAGGTTTTACCATCTATAAAAAAGCTTACATTCCATCCGAAATAAAGGAGCTTAACTGGTTATTTCAGCATTTAATACAGTTGCCCTTAGAGTCACACATTCATGTGTGATGGATTGAACATACTTCTATCAACTTGACAAGACATTAGTGTGATAGAATAAGTTGGTAACATAGAATTTGTTCGAAATGTTCACTTTTTCTAGCATTTGAGGAAATTAAGAAAATGTGTCCTTTGAACTGTACACAGCTAACTTAGCACGAATCAGTTCCGACTGTTTAACTTATCATTCTGCAAGTTTGTCAAATGGCGAATGTGACGTAGATGCTATTGGTCTGAATCGCCCTACTGAAACCATTTCTAGGTGTCTAAATGGTTTAATTTTTCGCCTTAAATTAGCAATCCCCACAAAATCTACGCTACTATTAAGGTACATGAACTAGGTTATCCCATTAGACAGATAGTTGGCTTGAGAAATATCCTAACATATGAACTATCGAAGTACTTAGCATTGATATTATGTCTTTTTAGGAATCGTTTGAACTTTAGACTAGTCAACTCCTACGGTTAAAACAAAGACTAAATGACCTGCATATAGAAGAAGATGAAAAATGGTTAGTTGTGAAGTAACAAGCCTTTATTCTAAAATACCAACCAATATGGCACCGAAGGCAGTCAAAAACCAACTAAATATTGGCCCGGAACTCACGCACAGAACTAACATATCAGTTGATGAAAGTATATTAGGCGTACTGTTGTGCCTGACCTCCACAGTCTTCAAGTTTCAGAACAAATTATGTAAGCAAACAGAATGAATAGCAATGGGATCATCAGTATCCCCAATCATAGGAGATGGATTTATGGATAGTCGGGAAAACATGGCTTGGACAGTGTTATAATGCGTAATTCCATGTTGAATTAATTCTGTTAGAGATAACATTGCGTACATAAGACTATTTCAGTGTGTGAAATATCCCACAAACAAATTACCATGGAATCATACTAGTAAATGATATGCGTAGGTGATTTTGACTGCTTAAAATTTGAAAATAACTAGAAATATTTTCAGGGGTTCACTTAATCCCCCTAGATGAAATCCTATCAGCATGAAATCCGGTTGCAGATATTTTGACCCGTTTTCCTTCAAAATCTACAATTGTGGAAATAATTTTAAAAAAAGTTAACAACATATTTTAGAAATTATTATTACCTATCCCACTCTTACCAGTCAATAGAAGACGTTTTCTGCATACATAATATCTGTTGACAGGAGGTGGCAAATCTTTGAATGAATAAAAAATGAACAGACAATTTTACACACTATGAGATGACTGTAGAACAGTTTAATTTTTAATGAAACTATATGAGTACATGGCGGAAAGGTACAGATAAAATACGCTCCAACATATGTGTGTATCGGTGCAGGTTATCAAATTTCATATCACAGCCTTGATAAGTGTGTCAGTGGAATGAATGACGAGACAATAATAACATCATCAGTCACGAATGAATGACAAAAGGAAGGAAAAAAGGGATGAAGAAAGAAAAAAGATTGACTGTAGCGACATTCCAAATTCAGCTGACGATCAAGTGCGATGTGTCTGCTCCCAATTTCGCTCATAATCTTTTATCATTGTGCTAATTAAGTTGTTGGCTCAAGTTTTTCTTCTCCTCTTCTCTTCCAGATCCACTTGGTCATCGATAAACTCGCACCCTTCTATGCTCACCCCTGGAACAGCGTACCTGGAAATAGGATGGAAATCTACCAACAGCTTGTCATGACGTCATCTATTCGGGTCATCTTTCGAAATGTAACCATAAAGATGGAATCTAGCGTGAATATCAATCTGGAAAAGTCAGCACTTCTTAATTTAACTTGCTAGCAGGTGGTAGTCAAGTCATGTGGAAACTCTATGATCCCATTAAGATTTGAATCTCGGTGTGTATTGTTCATTAGTTAGGTAGATAAAAGGTTACTTTTCTATACAGATACTTGGATAGAATGTGAGGATTTAAACGCCAATTCACTAAACACAACTTGGTGGTATTGCAGTCTATACTTATTTAAAGTTCTATTTGTTAATAATGAGAGAAGACGAACCCGACAAATCTTATAAAGAAGCTATTTAATCGCCCTGAAATGGTAAACAGCGTAGTAAGTAATACTGTCTCATTGTATTGCATCAAATAAACTTATTTATTACAGAAATATACTCTACCACAGCATCCATATTCTAGTCAATCATCAAAAACAATAACAATAATAGTCTACCAAACTACGACTTATATCTCAGATAGTCAAATAATAATCAATATGATGCTCCCCCATGGTAATTCAGTTAGATTTCCATTGGGATAAGAAGTCCTGACTGGTGGGCAGCTTGTGTGAACACGATCAAGCGGTAGTATTGACGAGTCACGAATTAGCATGGTAGTCAGGTGAAACCCTGCATGTGATTGAGGTGTGATAAAAATGTGGTCAGCAGTCGGGCATCGTAGCTCAATTGGCAGAGCATCGGGCAGGAAATCCGGTGATCGCTTGTTCGAATCCGACCTCGGTCAAAATTTTTATTTCAGCTTCAGTCAACACCCAGTATCATTAACACTTGATTAAAATTATCATATTTGTTTTTCTGACACAGGTGATGTTGATTACTTTAGAATGTAGCTATTATTTAGTTTGAAAACATGCTGACACCACATCTTTAAGTCTTTTGATAAAACTCAGATATCGCATGTTCATTATCAAAAGTTAGAACCTCATCTCCTCATCACCTGTTAGATAGTAAAACCAAAGTTTTGTAAAGTTGTAAAGTAGGCTAACTATTGTTTGGTCAATAAATAATTTTGACTAATCAAACCACTGAATAAATTCTTTGTGAATAAGCCGATATCTGTATAGCTGTTTTTCTACTTCTAATGTCAGCTATTCAGTCTTCCACCGTCACAGAAGTGAAGATTTCAGAGGAAAGGTGGAACAAGGTAGAGTAGAAATATAAAGAACTGTCAATTGATAGCAGCTAGCAGTTTTAGGACTCTCTGGGTATTGCGTAGAATGTTTACGAAAATAAGTGGTGACATTTTCACCATCTTATACACATCCTGAGTTAGGTCTGAATTAGAAAAGTGTATACAGGCGGCAAACCCCTGTTTGAAAGGTGACTCAGACCTACTGGAGAGAGTTCAGATGGCAACCACTCGTATGATCCCTGCGATGACTAGCCTCATCTACAAAGATAGACTTAAGGAGCTGAACCTCTTCACTTTATCCTATCTCATACAGAGAGGAGACCTAATCAAGCTATACATGATTCTAAGAAATGACTTCAGACCTGATATATCTTCTCTTTTCCTTCCTACTAGGTCAGAACACCACTTAGGACATACCAGGAGGCTACAAAAGCAAAGAACAAACATAGTCTCCGCAGAGTACTGTTTCTTGCGTTTAGTAATCAACGCCTGGAATCGACTCCCAGAAAAGTGGTGTCTGCATCATCAATTGACTCGTTCAAAAAGGGACTAGAAAAGCACAGAAATCTACTAGAAAAGGATTAATATAGGCTCCCAGCCTTCTATACTCAAACAACAAATTTGAATCTGAATCTGAAAACTACACATTGCAATTATGAACAATGATGCTGTTTGTAAATATGACTTGAATATAAGGCTAGATTTTGTTATCATTAAGAGCTTTACTTCCTCAATAACTAACCCCAGTGCTTTACTGGATGTTTTTTTCGAATCTAATATCTGTGTTAATCAGTCACTTTCTTAATTAGAAATTAAGAGAACATTTTCGTATCATTTATTTCAGTTTAATAGCACCTTGTTGAGAAATAATACGCCTTTGACATTGTTCATACAATTAAAGGTAAAAATAAGAATCAGTAAGAGTTGTGAGCGGTTTACCGATAAAACCTAATTGCCTTTTACTGGAATAAGAAAATTAATGCATATTTTAACTTACCACATTGATAATCTTCTCGTGAACCAGGTGAAACTTTATCATTCTCACTTGATCTACTTAAAGGCATAAGAACTAATTTCTGTGAGGAGTCATTTTCATAAATTGTACTGGTTTTGATGGAAATTGGTGTAGACGAATGAATTCCATGACTGGAGACTGGTTTCATAGATTTGAAGATAGAACTGGAAACTTTAGGTGTTTCACTAATTTTCATAAATTTACCTAATTTTAAAATATATGACAAACCTTTTATCAACAGAAAAGTATATTTAAGTAAGATGTATGAAATAGACTTCATTTTCATTAAAGTCTAGATAGTAACGATTCGAGGTGATGTTTGAAGGTAAAAGGAAAATTTGAACCGCAGAGGGATTTGAATCAGGCATCACCCGATTTCCAACCAGATGCTTTATCAACTCAGCTATGAGATCTGACTACTGACAAGACTTTTTCTCACTTAAATCATCAAAAGTTTTATACTTTAAATCAAATGGAAAAGTGTTGTCTCATCATGTAAGATTCGCTAAATGTCTTGAAACTTCTCACACCAACAAAAACAAACAAATTACTATCTCATCTGATACTTATCCATTGAAAAAGAAATCAGTTTATAGCAACGATATAGTGTTTACTCATAAATCCTCCTTCCTAATGGTCATCAATGATAGAAAGTATGAGAATTCCTAAGGCTTTGAACATAGTCTAACCGTATGGTGGGCAACGTTAATTAGAACTTGTCGTAAACTTTTTGGCCGGTTAAGTTACTCAGTCAGTGAGACTGTAAAGCACTAGTAACTAAGGTGACTGTGATGTGTGTATCTCACAATGATTTACATCTTTATTTATGGCTTGGTCAAAAGTTGTAGCAAGAAGTATAAGAATTAAGTTGAAAAAAGCTAGAACTAACGTAGCAACAATACATGAGTTAAATGCGCTATTCAGAAGTTGATGAGTTTCACTGATCAAGTCATCCGAAACCAATCTTAGTTAAGCGGATGTATTCTGTTCGTTTCATCCTACCATACACAAGAAGCGATGATGTTCCATTGGTAAAGCTTCAAGAGGGAACAAGTAAAAACATACAGTACACACATAGAAGCGAAGGACACTGCATAATAGGATACCAAAAACAAAAGTATTTACTGAGGTGAGTTTTCTGTAAAGCCCAACAGTTTTATCAACAGATTGTAATTTTCCCATAAATAATCTTTGCTACTCAATTAAACATCAGCAGGCTACCACCTACTGTTATACTACAACTTTTCTTTACAGTATCTGTCTTGTTATGTAACTTGCTTTTGTTGCTTATGGTTGTGAATTCGGGTTCCACCTTGACATATTTATTTAACCTGATGATACTTGGCTGGCTAAAGTGAATAGCCAGGAATTGGTAGGTTAATATACCATAAGTTAAGAAGACGCCATGATTTACTGTTTGAGTATTACACAAAAAGCATTGACAACAACTCACTTTCTTCTGTTGTACAAACTTGAGGTGGTTGCATCATAGTCTTCCCGATGTATAAAGTTTTGAATGAAGTTGATGAAAAATTAGGTAAAGAACAGAATATTAGACGATAAAACTACCAATCATCAAATGTTATAACTTTTAAATGAGTATAGATTGAAGGAAGCTCGTTGTTAACCCATCTACCATAGGTAATGAATACAGAAGAAATTGCTCCTTGTGTGATTGTACAAATGTTGTAGGCGTAATCAGTTGTAATCTTACCTGTAAGACTGATAACTTCATACTGGCGTGTATCATTGATTGGAGCGGAAACACATCTCGTCTTGTAGCAGGCGATTTCAACACACCTAGTGTAAACTGGGTTGGAATGCCCACAATGTGATCGTTCAGTTCACTTGATAGTGGACCACTTCTGTCTATTATAGAACACTCTCTGATTTCGATTGTGTATTGTGTGTCAGAGTTCTTTTTTCCAAGACCTTTTCCTAAAACATGATCTGGATAGCATTTACAAATAATTATTCTTGTTCTGTTTGAAAAAGTTACTCCAAGTGCTTTTATCCGAACCCAGAGATAGTGATATGGTCTATGAATCTGTAGTGCACCTTCCTGGCACCAAAATATAACTAGGGCTAAAATAAATAGTTTAAATTAAATTAACTAAATAAATCTCTAGCTTGCCTCCGGATGCTTAGGGTGTTTTAAGTTTTGTTTTAACGAGCATGCATCCGAGCAGGCTTGGACGCCATTTTTGCGCTCCATTGTGCTGATCACCACGCACGTACTCCGAGTCCCTAGTTCAGCCTAACAAGCCAGATAAGTTGATTAAACTTTTCCCTCATTCATTATTATAACATTTACCTTAAATACATAGCTCCTTTAAATACATTGCGTATCAGTTCTTTTGATTTGTGTTTTGTTACCAGTACTTACACGTTAGGTAAAGTACTGGTTAAGCAGGTACTAGAGCACATCAAATTAAGTAGGGTTGGTCAATCGTTACGGAATTGTAACACGCATCCCTACAAAAATTGGTGAGCCCGACGTGATTGTCGCGGTGGAAGGGCATCCAAACTGCGAAACCCATCCTTCGACGAAAACCCGACTTACTGTTTCGGCAGTAATGTTAGACAGTGGGATGGCTAACGGCCAGCGAGTAAACCTATCGACACATGTCAGTAGGTAACTATATCCATCGGAGGGTGGAAGTGGGCCGACAATGTCTAAGTGGACATGAGCGAATCGTGAGTCAGGTTTGGCGAAAGTTCCAAGTGGTGGGATGTTGTGACGATTCACCTTGGAACGTTGGCACTGAATACATGACCGTGTCCAGTTTCGAACATCACGGTTAATCCCAGGCCAAACAAACCTAGCAGATATGAGCTTGTCAGTGGCGCGGATGCCAGGATGTGAAAGATTGTGCAAAGCATCAAAAACATGCTTACGCAAGGATAAAGGAACAGCCGGTCTGGTAGTTCTTACAAAGGTCGCACGTCTCGTTCGCCCAACAGGTCTGCCTCCCGTACCGATAGCAGACGTTCCAAATCGCGACATTCCCAACCCAGGTTGTGCTGGTACCATAAACGTTATGGTGCCAATGCCAAAAAGTGCACTCGACCTTGCACCTTCGAGGCTAACCAGGCGGGAAACGTGTGAGCCAGCACGTGACGGCGACTAACGTCGCTGGCGAGCCACTTCCATGTCGCCTCTTCTTCGTCACTGATCGACATTCTGGGATACGCTTCCTAGTTGACACTGGGGCAGAAGCTAGCGTCATCCCACCTACGAAGGAAGAGCGTCTGCGGCCAATGTCTCTGCAACTTCGTGCCGCCAACGGTTCGCCCATCACAACCTATGGTCGGAGATTCCTCGATCTCAACCTTGGATTGCGTCGTCCCTTTCGTTGGGTTTTCATAGTGGCAGATGTGACCACCGGCATTATTGGTATGGATCTCTTGCAGCACTATCAGCTGCTGGTAGATGCTGGCAAGCATAAGTTGATAGATTCTACCACAACACTCTCTGTTTCCGGTATAGTCACAAAGACGCCGCCCCTCAGTCCCGTGTACTGCACGACGGACGCTTCTAGTCCCTACGCGTCTATCATTCAGTCCTTTCCGGATGTCTTTAAGCCAAGTCGTTGTGTCCCTTGTGTGACTTCGAACGTTTCTCATCACATAACGACGACTGGCCCTCCAGTATTTGCGAAACCACGGCGATTATCCCCGGAGAAACTGCGTGCTGTAAAAGCCGAGTTCGAACACATGCTTGAAATGGGAATAATCAGACCATCCAACAGTCCATGGTCTTCACCCTTGCATGTGGTACCCAAGAACAATGGCATGGACTGGAGGCCTTGTGGTGACTACCGAAGGCTCAACGCTAAAACGATTCCAGATCGTTACCCAGTCCCTCACATTCACGACTTGACTGCATCTTTAAAAGGCTCGGTTATCTTCAGTAAGCTTGACTTGACGCGTGCATATCATCAGATCCCGGTTCATCCTGATGATGTTCCCAAGACAGCCGTCATTACACCGTTTGGTCTTTTTGAGTTCCTCCGTATGCCTTTTGGTCTTCGCAATGCAGCACAAACCTTCCAACGTTTTATTCACGATGTTTTACGTGGACTCGATTTCGCCTATGCCTACCTAGACGATATACTAATCGCTAGTCCAGACGAAGACACTCATATTAACCACTTGAAACAGGTTTTCGCCAGACTGTCAGAGCATTCGATGACAGTCAACCTGGCCAAATGCCAAATTGGCGTTCGTTCACTAAAATTTTTGGGACACGTTATCGACGAGCAAGGCATTCGCCCACTACCTGAAAAGGTACAGGCGATCCAAGACTTCCCAGTCCCAGCGTCATTTAAAGCTCTGCGTGTGTTTCTGGGTATGGTGAGCTATTATCGTCGCTTCATTCCCCAATGTGCACACATTTTGACTGCACTGACCGACCTGCTGAAAAGTAAATGTAAAACTTTCAGCTTGACTCCGGAGGCACTAGAAGCATTTCGCAAGATCAAAACCGCAATAGCAGACGCCACGATGCTGGTGCATCAAGACGTAAACCTACCTCTCAGCATTGCGGTTGACGCCTCTAACACGGCCATTGGAGCTGTGTTGCAACAACTTTCGGATCACACTTGGATCCCAGTTGCATTCTTCTCTCGGAAGTTATCCACCTGCGAAATGCGGTACAGCACTTTCGGCAGGGAACTGCTCGCCATATATGCCTCAGTGAAACATTTTCGTCATTTTGTGGAAGGTCGTGACTTCATCATCTTTACCGACCATAAACCTCTGACGTATGCCTTACACACCACTACTGACAGATATTCACCGCGTGAATTACGTCACCTAGATTATATTTCGCAATTCACGTCGGACATCCGTCATATTTCTGGTGTGAATAACCCTGTCGCGGACGCACTGTCTCGCGTTTGCACCACGACTTTGCCTCGAGCAGTCGACTTACGGAAGATTGCCGAACTTCAGGATTCAGACGAGGAGATTGGAAAACTTCAACACTCATCCTCTCTGAAGATACAGCGTTACCGCTCCTGAACAGTGAAGTGTCAATATTGTGCGACACCTCCACAGGCACACCCAGACCCTTGCCGCCGGACTCCCTAACAGACTCGTTTAGTCGCGCGTATCCTGAACCTTCTAAAAGAGCCACGTCTAGTAACACTGATCCAGTAACCTCTACACGTGCTGGGAGGCGTGTACATTGGCCCAAGCGATACGCCGAGTTCGTTAATTAGCCCCTGAGCAACTTCACACTTGGTGAATTTGGAGTTTCAACTACTTTGTCGTGGCATACACTTTCAATGCGTTTTCATACCTAAAGTTTTCAAAAGTCATGTTTACTACTTTGCAAACAGTTTTTTTTTCAAAAAAAAAAAAGAAAAATCAAAAATACAATTTAAATTCCGAAAACTTTTTTTGGTTGGTTATTATTTTTTTTTCTGTACTACTCCCACTTCGAATTGTTTGGTTTTCCTTTTCTTAGCACTCTAATGTCCCATTTCTTTCTTCTTGCAGAACCTAGAAAATGCGTTGAAAATTGGATACAATTGGCCGCTGACGATGCTACTTGGATCGTTCTTCGGTTCTCTTTGTACCAATTTCCCCCTGTACACTCCCCGGTAGATTAAGAAGCAATAGGGAAAAGTAGACGGAGGCTTTGGGTCACCTTCCACCACTGCGAGAAGGGTTGCGTCTAGACGCAAAAATATCTTACCTCGTAGGTGTGCATAGTTGCACTAGCTTCGGAGACCCACACGTCACCTACTCCATCACCAATATGGAAAGGTGTTGCGTGTCCGCCTCGCAGTCGCCTCCTAGGATCGAAGGTTGCCGGTATCCCAACAACCTTCTAGGAGGGGGATAACCTGTAGTGCACCTTCCTGGCACCAAAATATAACTAGGGCTAAAATAAATAGTTTAAATTAAATTAACTAAATAAATCTCTAGCTTGCCTCCGGATGCTTAGGGTGTTTTAAGTTTTGTTTTAACGAGCATGCATCCGAGCAGGCTTGGACGCCATTTTTGCGCTCCATTGTGCTGATCACCACGCACGTACTCCGAGTCCCTAGTTCAGCCTTACAAGCCAGATAAGTTGATTAAACTTTTCCCTCATTCATTATTATAACATTTACCTTAAATACATAGCTCCTTTAAATACATTGCGTATCAGTTCTTTTGATTTGTGTTTTGTTACCAGTACTTACACGTTAGGTAAAGTACTGGTTAAGCAGGTACTAGAGCACATCAAATTAAGTAGGGTTGGTCAATCGTTACGGAATTGTAACACGCATCCCTACAAAAATTGGTGAGCCCGACGTGATTGTCGCGGTGGAAGGGCATCCAAACTGCGAAACCCATCCTTCGACGAAAACCCGACTTACTGTTTCGGCAGTAATGTTAGACAGTGGGATGGCTAACGGCCAGCGAGTAAACCTATCGACACATGTCAGTAGGTAACTATATCCATCGGAGGGTGGAAGTGGGCCGACAATGTCTAAGTGGACATGAGCGAATCGTGAGTCAGGTTTGGCGAAAGTTCCAAGTGGTGGGATGTTGTGACGATTCACCTTGGAACGTTGGCACTGAATACATGACCGTGTCCAGTTTCGAACATCACGGTTAATCCCAGGCCAAACAAACCTAGCAGATATGAGCTTGTCAGTGGCGCGGATGCCAGGATGTGAAAGATTGTGCAAAGCATCAAAAACATGCTTACGCAAGGATAAAGGAACAGCCGGTCTGGTAGTTCTTACAAAGGTCGCACGTCTCGTTCGCCCAACAGGTCTGCCTCCCGTACCGATAGCAGACGTTCCAAATCGCGAGATTCCCAACCCAGGTTGTGCTGGTACCATAAACGTTATGGTGCCAATGCCAAAAAGTGCACTCGACCTTGCACCTTCGAGGCTAACCAGGCGGGAAACGTGTAAGCCAGCACGTGACGGCGACTAACGTCGCTGGCGAGCCACTTCCATGTCGCCTCTTCTTCGTCACTGATCGACATTCTGGGATACGCTTCCTAGTTGACACTGGGGCAGAAGCTAGCGTCATCCCACCTACGAAGGAAGAGCGTCTGCGGCCAATGTCTCTGCAACTTCGTGCCGCCAACGGTTCGCCCATCACAACCTATGGTCGGAGATTCCTCGATCTCAACCTTGGATTGCGTCGTCCCTTTCGTTGGGTTTTCATAGTGGCAGATGTGACCACCGGCATTATTGGTATGGATCTCTTGCAGCACTATCAGCTGCTGGTAGATGCTGGCAAGCATAAGTTGATAGATTCTACCACAACACTCTCTGTTTCCGGTATAGTCACAAAGACGCCGCCCCTCAGTCCCGTGTACTGCACGACGGACGCTTCTAGTCCCTACGCGTCTATCATTCAGTCCTTTCCGGATGTCTTTAAGCCAAGTCGTTGTGTCCCTTGTGTGACTTCGAACGTTTCTCATCACATAACGACGACTGGCCCTCCAGTATTTGCGAAACCACGGCGATTATCCCCGGAGAAACTGCGTGCTGTAAAAGCCGAGTTCGAACACATGCTTGAAATGGGAATAATCAGACCATCCAACAGTCCATGGTCTTCACCCTTGCATGTGGTACCCAAGAACAATGGCATGGACTGGAGGCCTTGTGGTGACTACCGAAGGCTCAACGCTAAAACGATTCCAGATCGTTACCCAGTCCCTCACATTCACGACTTGACTGCATCTTTAAAAGGCTCGGTTATCTTCAGTAAGCTTGACTTGACGCGTGCATATCATCAGATCCCGGTTCATCCTGATGATGTTCCCAAGACAGCCGTCATTACACCGTTTGGTCTTTTTGAGTTCCTCCGTATGCCTTTTGGTCTTCGCAATGCAGCACAAACCTTCCAACGTTTTATTCACGATGTTTTACGTGGACTCGATTTCGCCTATGCCTACCTAGACGATATACTAATCGCTAGTCCAGACGAAGACACTCATATTAACCACTTGAAACAGGTTTTCGCCAGACTGTCAGAGCATTCGATGACAGTCAACCTGGCCAAATGCCAAATTGGCGTTCGTTCACTAAAATTTTTGGGACACGTTATCGACGAGCAAGGCATTCGCCCACTACCTGAAAAGGTACAGGCGATCCAAGACTTCCCAGTCCCAGCGTCATTTAAAGCTCTGCGTGTGTTTCTGGGTATGGTGAGCTATTATCGTCGCTTCATTCCCCAATGTGCACACATTTTGACTGCACTGACCGACCTGCTGAAAAGTAAATGTAAAACTTTCAGCTTGACTCCGGAGGCACTAGAAGCATTTCGCAAGATCAAAACCGCAATAGCAGACGCCACGATGCTGGTGCATCAAGACGTAAACCTACCTCTCAGCATTGCGGTTGACGCCTCTAACACGGCCATTGGAGCTGTGTTGCAACAACTTTCGGATCACACTTGGATCCCAGTTGCATTCTTCTCCGGAAGTTATCCACCTGCGAAATGCGGTACAGCACTTTCGGCAGGGAACTGCTCGCCATATATGCCTCAGTGAAACATTTTCGTCATTTTGTGGAAGGTCGTGACTTCATCATCTTTACCGACCATAAACCTCTGACGTATGCCTTACACACCACTACTGACAGATATTCACCGCGTGAATTACGTCACCTAGATTATATTTCGCAATTCACGTCGGACATCCGTCATATTTCTGGTGTGAATAACCCTGTCGCGGACGCACTGTCTCGCGTTTGCACCACGACTTTGCCTCGAGCAGTCGACTTACGGAAGATTGCCGAACTTCAGGATTCAGACGAGGAGATTGGAAAACTTCAACACTCATCCTCTCTGAAGATACAGCGTTACCGCTCCTGAACAGTGAAGTGTCAATATTGTGCGACACCTCCACAGGCACACCCAGACCCTTGCCGCCGGACTCCCTAACAGACTCGTTTAGTCGCGCGTATCCTGAACCTTCTAAAAGAGCCACGTCTAGTAACACTGATCCAGTAACCTCTACACGTGCTGGGAGGCGTGTACATTGGCCCAAGCGATACGCCGAGTTCGTTAATTAGCCCCTGAGCAACTTCACACTTGGTGAATTCGGAGTTTCAACTACTTTGTCGTGGCATACACTTTCAATGCGTTTTCATACCTAAAGTTTTCAAAAGTCATGTTTACTACTTTGCAAACAGTTTTTTTTTCAAAAAAAAAAAAGAAAAATCAAAAATACACTTTAAATTCCGAAAACTTTTTTTGGTTGGTTATTATTTTTTTTTCTGTACTACTCCCACTTCGAATTGTTTGGTTTTCCTTTTCTTAGCACTCTAATGTCCCATTTCTTTCTTCTTGCAGAACCTAGAAAATGCGTTGAAAATTGGATACAATTGGCCGCTGACGATGCTACTTGGATCGTTCTTCGGTTCTCTTTGTACCAATTTCCCCCTGTACACTCCCCGGTAGGTTAAGAAGCAATAGGGAAAAGTAGACGGAGGCTTTGGGTCACCTTCCACCACTGCGAGAAGGGTTGCGTCTAGACGCAAAGTTATCTTACCTCGTAGGTGTGCATAGTTGCACTAGCTTCGGAGACCCACACGTCACCTACTCCATCACCAATATGGAAAGGTGTTGCGTGTCCGCCTCGCAGTCGCCTCCTAGGATCGAAGGTTGCCGGTATCCCAACAACCTTCTAGGAGGGGGATAACCTGTAGTGCACCTTCCTGGCACCAAAATATAACTAGGGCTAAAATAAATAGTTTAAATTAAATTAACTAAATAAATCTCTAGCTTGCCTCCGGATGCTTAGGGTGTTTTAAGTTTTGTTTTAACGAGCATGCATCCGAGCAGGCTTGGACGCCATTTTTGCGCTCCATTGTGCTGATCACCACGCACGTACTCCGAGTCCCTAGTTCAGCCTAACAAGCCAGATAAGTTGATTAAACTTTTCCCTCATTCATTATTATAACATTTACCTTAAATACATAGCTCCTTTAAATACATTGCGTATCAGTTCTTTTGATTTGTGTTTTGTTACCAGTACTTACACGTTAGGTAAAGTACTGGTTAAGCAGGTACTAGAGCACATCAAATTAAGTAGGGTTGGTCAATCGTTACGGAATTGTAACACGCATCCCTACAAAAATTGGTGAGCCCGACGTGATTGTCGCGGTGGAAGGGCATCCAAACTGCGAAACCCATCCTTCGACGAAAACCCGACTTACTGTTTCGGCAGTAATGTTAGACAGTGGGATGGCTAACGGCCAGCGAGTAAACCTATCGACACATGTCAGTAGGTAACTATATCCATCGGAGGGTGGAAGTGGGCCGACAATGTCTAAGTGGACATGAGCGAATCGTGAGTCAGGTTTGGCGAAAGTTCCAAGTGGTGGGATGTTGTGACGATTCACCTTGGAACGTTGGCACTGAATACATGACCGTGTCCAGTTTCGAACATCACGGTTAATCCCAGGCCAAACAAACCTAGCAGATATGAGCTTGTCAGTGGCGCGGATGCCAGGATGTGAAAGATTGTGCAAAGCATCAAAAACATGCTTACGCAAGGATAAAGGAACAGCCGGTCTGGTAGTTCTTACAAAGGTCGCACGTCTCGTTCGCCCAACAGGTCTGCCTCCCGTACCGATAGCAGACGTTCCAAATCGCGAGATTCCCAACCCAGGTTGTGCTGGTACCATAAACGTTATGGTGCCAATGCCAAAAAGTGCACTCGACCTTGCACCTTCGAGGCTAACCAGGCGGGAAACGTGTAAGCCAGCACGTGACGGCGACTAACGTCGCTGGCGAGCCACTTCCATGTCGCCTCTTCTTCGTCACTGATCGACATTCTGGGATACGCTTCCTAGTTGACACTGGGGCAGAAGCTAGCGTCATCCCACCTACGAAGGAAGAGCGTCTGCGGCCAATGTCTCTGCAACTTCGTGCCGCCAACGGTTCGCCCATCACAACCTATGGTCGGAGATTCCTCGATCTCAACCTTGGATTGCGTCGTCCCTTTCGTTGGGTTTTCATAGTGGCAGATGTGACCACCGGCATTATTGGTATGGATCTCTTGCAGCACTATCAGCTGCTGGTAGATGCTGGCAAGCATAAGTTGATAGATTCTACCACAACACTCTCTGTTTCCGGTATAGTCACAAAGACGCCGCCCCTCAGTCCCGTGTACTGCACGACGGACGCTTCTAGTCCCTACGCGTCTATCATTCAGTCCTTTCCGGATGTCTTTAAGCCAAGTCGTTGTGTCCCTTGTGTGACTTCGAACGTTTCTCATCACATAACGACGACTGGCCCTCCAGTATTTGCGAAACCACGGCGATTATCCCCGGAGAAACTGCGTGCTGTAAAAGCCGAGTTCGAACACATGCTTGAAATGGGAATAATCAGACCATCCAACAGTCCATGGTCTTCACCCTTGCATGTGGTACCCAAGAACAATGGCATGGACTGGAGGCCTTGTGGTGACTACCGAAGGCTCAACGCTAAAACGATTCCAGATCGTTACCCAGTCCCTCACATTCACGACTTGACTGCATCTTTAAAAGGCTCGGTTATCTTCAGTAAGCTTGACTTGACGCGTGCATATCATCAGATCCCGGTTCATCCTGATGATGTTCCCAAGACAGCCGTCATTACACCGTTTGGTCTTTTTGAGTTCCTCCGTATGCCTTTTGGTCTTCGCAATGCAGCGCAAACCTTCCAACGTTTTATTCACGATGTTTTACGTGGACTCGATTTCGCCTATGCCTACCTAGACGATATACTAATCGCTAGTCCAGACGAAGACACTCATATTAACCACTTGAAACAGGTTTTCGCCAGACTGTCAGAGCATTCGATGACAGTCAACCTGGCCAAATGCCAAATTGGCGTTCGTTCACTAAAATTTTTGGGACACGTTATCGACGAGCAAGGCATTCGCCCACTACCTGAAAAGGTACAGGCGATCCAAGACTTCCCAGTCCCAGCGTCACTTAAAGCTCTGCGTGTGTTTCTGGGTATGGTGAGCTATTATCGTCGCTTCATTCCCCAATGTGCACACATTTTGACTGCACTGACCGACCTGCTGAAAAGTAAATGTAAAACTTTCAGCTTGACTCCGGAGGCACTAGAAGCATTTCGCAAGATCAAAACCGCAATAGCAGACGCCACGATGCTGGTGCATCAAGACGTAAACCTACCTCTCAGCATTGCGGTTGACGCCTCTAACACGGCCATTGGAGCTGTGTTGCAACAACTTTCGGATCACACTTGGATCCCAGTTGCATTCTTCTCCGGAAGTTATCCACCTGCGAAATGCGGTACAGCACTTTCGGCAGGGAACTGCTCGCCATATATGCCTCAGTGAAACATTTTCGTCATTTTGTGGAAGGTCGTGACTTCATCATCTTTACCGACCATAAACCTCTGACGTATGCCTTGCACACCACTACTGACAGATATTCACCGCGTGAATTACGTCACCTAGATTATATTTCGCAATTCACGTCGGACATCCGTCATATTTCTGGTGTGAATAACCCTGTCGCGGACGCACTGTCTCGCGTTTGCACCACGACTTTGCCTCGAGCAGTCGACTTACGGAAGATTGCCGAACTTCAGGATTCAGACGAGGAGATTGGAAAACTTCAACACTCATCCTCTCTGAAGATACAGCGTTACCGCTCCTGAACAATGAAGTGTCAATATTGTGCGACACCTCCACAGGCACACCCAGACCCTTGCCGCCGGACTCCCTAACAGACTCGTTTAGTCGCGCGTATCCTGAACCTTCTAAAAGAGCCACGTCTAGTAACACTGATCCAGTAACCTCTACACGTGCTGGGAGGCGTGTACATTGGCCCAAGCGATACGCCGAGTTCGTTAATTAGCCCCTGAGCAACTTCACACTTGGTGAATTCGGAGTTTCAACTACTTTGTCGTGGCATACACTTTCAATGCGTTTTCATACCTAAAGTTTTCAAAAGTCATGTTTACTACTTTGCAAACAGTTTTTTTTTCAAAAAAAAAAAAGAAAAATCAAAAATACAATTTAAATTCCGAAAACTTTTTTTGGTTGGTTATTATTTTTTTTTCTGTACTACTCCCACTTCGAATTGTTTGGTTTTCCTTTTCTTAGCACTCTAATGTCCCATTTCTTTCTTCTTGCAGAACCTAGAAAATGCGTTGAAAATTGGATACAATTGGCCGCTGACGATGCTACTTGGATCGTTCTTCGGTTCTCTTTGTACCAATTTCCCCCTGTACACTCCCCGGTAGGTTAAGAAGCAATAGGGAAAAGTAGACGGAGGCTTTGGGTCACCTTCCACCACTGCGAGAAGGGTTGCGTCTAGACGCAAAGTTATCTTACCTCGTAGGTGTGCATAGTTGCACTAGCTTCGGAGACCCACACGTCACCTACTCCATCACCAATATGGAAAGGTGTTGCGTGTCCGCCTCGCAGTCGCCTCCTAGGATCGAAGGTTGCCGGTATCCCAACAACCTTCTAGGAGGGGGATAACCTGTAGTGCACCTTCCTGGCACCAAAATATAACTAGGGCTAAAATAAATAGTTTAAATTAAATTAACTAAATAAATCTCTAGCTTGCCTCCGGATGCTTAGGGTGTTTTAAGTTTTGTTTTAACGAGCATGCATCCGAGCAGGCTTGGACGCCATTTTTGCGCTCCATTGTGCTGATCACCACGCACGTACTCCGAGTCCCTAGTTCAGCCTTACAAGCCAGATAAGTTGATTAAACTTTTCCCTCATTCATTATTATAACATTTACCTTAAATACATAGCTCCTTTAAATACATTGCGTATCAGTTCTTTTGATTTGTGTTTTGTTACCAGTACTTACACGTTAGGTAAAGTACTGGTTAAGCAGGTACTAGAGCACATCAAATTAAGTAGGGTTGGTCAATCGTTACGGAATTGTAACACGCATCCCTACAAATCTGTCGAACCTCGTTCGAATATCTGTCGAGCAAACATAGTGGCTGTTAGGGAATGTACTCCAATGGAAGGCTTGTCAGTTGCTGCAGCCTCATCTATTGGTGCTGTGTACAGTAAACTTAATAACACAGTTAAATTAATTACATCCCTTCACACAACTCGGTCAGTACTGAAAAAAGCTACTGACTGCCTTCCATGGATGAGTATATAGCTGAAAAAGCACCCCACTGGAGAAAAAGATTACGGAACCTCCTTATTAAAAAGGCTTTTTGATCACTTTTGATCAAAGTATTATGAGATCAAAAAATACTTATAAAAACCTGATTAGAAATGCAACAGAGAAGCAGCTTGTCTAGCAATCCTAGTAATATACTCAGAGGTTATGCTCTTACAGTATAAGGAGTACTTATAGGAACGAAGGCATCTCAGCCATGATTCTGGATAAAGATTACTTGATAGTAAGTGATTACAGGATAACTAAAGCTGAGACTCTGTTACAGTAGTTGGGGGGATTATTCTTTGACGGTTTTATTCAGTACTAAGAAACTGCTTTCATTTGCGAAATCCCACGAATGAGACCAATGCTCACTGATAAAGAGGTTGTCCTAAAACCTTTGCTGAATCTTAATATGGGTAAGTCATCTGATCCAGATAAGGATACTATCTGCACTGGAGTATAGTCTCGTTGAACCGCTATCATGGTTGCTTTATATATCAATGAATCAATCACAATTACCCAGGAATCGGAAGGATGCTATCATCATCCCAGTCTATAGAACTGGAGAAAAACATTCAGTGGTTATATATCATCCAATTATTCTGACTAGATTAGTAGTTAGACTTTTGGAAAAGATAATTTGTAATACTGTCCTATTGCAAATCGAGGGAAATAGGCTTTTGGATACGGTACAGCATGGGTTAAGGGCAGGCTACTAAAGCCTGAAGAATCCAGTAACTGAAGTAGAAGATTAGGCTACTCCTAGTGATATGAATGTTTCAGTTGATTCACAGCTTTCGATAAGGCTTCTTATCCAAGTCCTAAGAAGAAGTCAGAAATCTGTTGCATTGATAATGCAGTTAGGAAATCGATCAAAAAAGAGAGTGTAGGTAAATGTAGTTTTGTCTTAGTGAAAACAAGTAAAGAGAGGAATGCATCAACGTCCTATGCTACATCTACATCTTTTCCTACTGCACACGAATAAATTGGCCAAAATAACTCAGAAGACCTGTTCACAGTGATGAGGATAAGCTGTTCTTACAGAACAACCTAAATGCTGTATTAGAGTGACCAACAAGATGGCGCCTAGAAATTAATACCACCAACAGGATAATCACTTGTATAGGTCACGAAGATCTATATTACTGCTCGAGAAGCAACATGTTATTACCCAAAGTAGTTGAATACATGAACATAGATATCATAGTCATAACGTTAAACTATCAGCTACCAAAGTTTTGAAAATCTTATGGTCTTTACGTAAAGCATTTCATAGCTTTCATGAGAACACTTTTCAGATCCTACACTCGATGTAAGATCCTATTCGAAGTGTGAGTTTTAAGTGGTGGGAACATATTCTAGATATAAAGCTGACATATTCGGCGAGTTCAGAGGGTAGGAATAAAGATAGTCAAAGGGCTGTCTGAAGAAAGGTCAAAGAGAATAGATTTTTTACGCCGTTTTGTAGTTCCCTGAGGCATGATCTCATTTCAACTTATCGTATCTTGAATAACTATTTACATTCTATCTTATCTGATTTATTCCTCCTCTCTAGTACTGATCATCATCGAAGACACCAAGTGTTCAGAAACCACGGTCAACGTGTCTACGTCTAGAAGTACTTTTCTTGTACAGAGTTGTGAACCACTGTAACTCTCTACCACAGCAAATAATGTCTTCAATCTCTATCGATACTTTCAAGGCCAGATTGTTGAATCTCTACAATGCTACCATTAGCAAGGATCAATATGAGTCATAAGCCTACTAGCCTTAAAACTGAAATAAATTTCGAGGAAAACACCAGTGAGCAGAGAGAAAAACAACCACTCATCATTTGATGAGGTTAAAGTTGACCAGATTTCTCTAAATATGACCATCCTTCTTGCATCTTTACTTAAAAGCATTTAAGAAATATGTTGAATGGTTGATATTATCGATCTAAACAGTAGGTGTGTGTATATGTTCTTATCGACAGAATCTTTGATTTATGCTTCATTTCCCGTCAGATAAACTGCATAGTACTTACTAACGAGTAAAATTTTGGATAGGAATAAATTGCATTAAGGATTTAACATCATAAGGACAAGACATTATGCCTAGCTTAATCTCTGAAACAAGCATATAACTATTAGCAGGATTGACCAGTCTGTTCATAGAATGTTATATCCTTAATTTAAACGAATAATTATGTGCCCGTTTCCAGGAGAACCAAACAGTCTTATCCTGTGGTACAACCACGTGGCTGTCGTCACATCTGTAGACTATTCACATCACTCGTCTGCATAAAAATGTACAACTATTCCTATTAGTGATTGCTTCAGCCAGTTATGGACATCATAGACAAGTCAATTTTGACATATCCCATCAAACACAAAGTTATAGGCAAGAGTAACTTGCATTTCAACACCCTAATGACACTCAAGACCCTTGAGTACGATACTAGCAACTAGCCAGTTCAGTGGTTTTATTCACTCAGTTAACCAGTTTTAAATATCATAGGCTTTCAGTGAATCCAACGAGATCACTACAAACCGTACACAATGGGATTAGTACTTATCTAGCAAAATATGACTTCCAGCTCTGAATATTAATATCGCCTAGGCAATATTATGAATTAATGAATCAATTAATTAGCAAATAAATAACATACAGACAGACAGTAAAATAACCTAAGACCACACAAACTGATCATGAGCCTGAAATAGGATAGAAGCAAATGAGCTCAATTGTAGATATTTTTGTATGTATCAGAATGACTGTGGTTTTCGAAACGAACATTCTATCAGACTTTTATCACCCCAGCACAGCACTTAACTCAATTTGAATATTTACACCTAAGCTACAAATTACAGATGACTTCATTTGAAACCTTATCTTTTTCTAAAATAAAATGATAATTCTGATAAGATTTATGGATAAATAACATAATTCAACACCGAACCAAGATGATGAGTGTCTTAACAAAACATCAGTTCGATTTCTGAGTTGTTAGTATCTTACAGTCACTATTATAATTATTATTATTTGTCATTTGGGTTCTTAGTGGAACACAGGGTTTTAGGAGCACATCACCATTTCACTCTCTTCTCGGCAGTCTTCTTAACCTGGATCCACCACTGCCTATAGTCTTTCGTTTGTTCCTCACATAATCTTCTCCATGTCACCCTCAGCTGGGACTCTCAACTCCTCCTTTCCAATTCGGCTTTCATTCGGCGACCTGGCACGTGATGTCTCCAAACAGTATTCTCAGCGTATGTCGAATCTAATCTATCTCCACTTTCTACTGCATATTTGTTGGGCAATAGCTTCTTGGTTGGTTCGTTGCCAGACCACAGTTCCTTGTTGCTTATTATTTCTGGCCTTCTGACCTGATCTTCGGTATGCGGCGTAGGTGGCAGGTGTTGATGAGTGTCTGTAGTTTGTTGAAACTGCTTTTCGTAACGTGCTAAGTCTCCCAACCATATAGAAACACAGACTTGACTGACCCAGTGTTGAAAATCCGGATCTTGTTCTTTATGCTGAGTGCAGTGGAGTGGAGTGCAGTAGATCTCCACACTGATTTCAAATTCATGAAGGCTTGTCTTGGCGTCTTTCTGATAGTGGCTTTGACATCATTTGTGCCTGCGCCGTCTGTAGTTGAGATGATGCTGCCTAGGTAAGTGGGTGAAAGAGACGACTTCCTTCAGATTTCTCCCTGTTGACGGTAATTGGTGCTTGTTGTTGTTGTTGGTTGGGTATCTTCATCACCTCTGTCTTCTCTACGTTCACCTGAAGTGCCATCTTCACTGCCTTACCTCTTCTGCCATCTTGTTGCTTTTGTCTGTAGATCTTCGAGCTTGTGTGATATCAGACGTTTTACAGTCATAAACAACATGAATCGACTGATTCTATCAGCTACTCTCCAAACCACTGAAATATCAACAAAACGAAGAGTAATGTTAAATCTGT